TCGTGCAGATTATGTTGATGCTGATGTGCCCGATTTGCCAATCGTTGCTAACCAGAGCGTAAAATAATTGTAAGTACTGCACTATTCAATCCATTGCTCTGTCCAGACACTTTGTACTAATCAAAAATAATTGCTGGTAAACCATCAGGCTATAATAAAATTCATTTAGATTCCCTGATAAAAAATACCATGAACGAACGATAGCCCAAATGATTGAGCTATTCCACAAATAGTTTGGATGATACCCCAAACACGTCGTTAAGCAAATTAACCTTAAAATTTTTATTAGGCCGTTCGCAATGCTGTTGTATTGTATAAGGACTGTTTCAATTTGAAACTAGAACAGAATCGCACCTCTCGCAATGCTGAGTTGCAGTTTCATTATTCGAGCACTATTTTGCACCAGATTTGCAACTGCTCGACTATTCTGTTTTATTTCTGAGCGAGTTTGAAACGAACGAAGAGCTTCACAAACAAAAAAACGGAGAACTTCATAGAGAACAGTAAAGTTTATGGAACTTGATGATTACAAAGATCTTTTAGAACTGTGCGTTGCGCCGATCGTGTTGCAATTTTTAACAATTATTACAGAATTGACGAGTAAGTTAAAACAATGTTGAAACTCAGCATTGCGAACGGCCTTAGGGTTTACAACATACTTATCTGCGTGTAGCGAAGCGTGTACACGCTATTTTGAGGCTATTCCATTCTATGCGCACGAGTATTGATAGTCAACATCTGTATCTGTAGTATCGCTTGAAAATATCTTGGTTTCCAGCGACCCTACTCGAACATCCTTCCTCCGTCAAGTGACATCTACCAGCTCCCAAATGCAACTACACCAACAATCAATACGAAACTAACGATTTTAAATTGGCTCACCACTTTAGTAGCCTATTGGTCCCAAGCAAACGATTAACGTACCCTATTCTAGTTGAAATTCTATTACTACACTATGTTTGTTTTGATTCGCTATGAAAGTTTGACAGATAACATCAGGGGTGTGTGGATTCATGCAGAACATGCAGGGGTGCGTGAAATAGCTTGGGACTGCTTGGGACCGTTGTTCTGGTACTAAGTGAGCCAAAAATAATAATGATTTTCTTCGGGACCCAGTGGTCTTAGAGTTACCTCTATGACTACACGCTGAACCTTCCGTTGTTCCCGAACAGCGGAGGTCGGACATAACGATTTACTATCAGAACGTTGGTGGTATGAACGGCCTCGTGGATGATTATCATCTGGCCGTCATGGATCACTGCTACGACATTTTAGTTTTGACCGAAACATGGCTCAATTATCGAACCATTTCAAACTATGTCTTTGGTGCTGGCTACGAAATATTTCGTTGCGATCGAAACACGAATAATAGTAGGAAAACTACTGGGGGAGGCGTCCTTATCGCAGTTGATTCCAAGCTGAAAGCAGAAGTTATCGAGGACGATTCCTGGAACAGGGTTGAACAAATGTGGGTGGCTATTCAACTTGGTGATCGTCAATTGCTTCTCTGTGCAGTGTACATTCCTCCAGATCGAACCCGTGACTTGGAGCTTATTGACGCACATTGTCGATCCGTCTTGGCCGCTTCAGACAAAGCAGGCCCTTCCGACGAAGTTATTGTTCTTGGCGATTTTAACCTACCGGACATTGCATGGACTCCAACCCATAGTGGTTTCTTTTGTCCTGATCACGAGCGTTCATCTTTCCACGTAGGAACCATCCAGCTCCTGGACAGTTATAGTACCGCAATTCTGTCACAAATCAATGGCCTGTTGAATGAAAACAACCGCACCCTGGATCTCTGCTTTGTGAGTGCTCGTGATACAGCTCCTTTCCTCTCCACGGCACCCGAACCTTTAGTCAAGGTAGTGCATCATCACCCTGCTTTAGTTATCGTGATCGAAAATAATATTGTCCATGATGTCACCAGCACTCCAAACGCTGTGTCATATGACTTCCGTAGAGCTGACCATTGCAGTATCGTCCATGTGCTGTCTAATCTAGATTGGGAGCATATTCTAGATCCTGTAGACGTCAACATTGCTGCACAAACCTTTTCTCACGTCTTGGCATATGTCATTGACAGACACGTTTCCAAAAAGATCATCCATATCGACTCTCGCGTCCCGTGGATGACGAAAGATCTTCGCTCGTTGAAAAGAACTAAGAAGGCTGCTCTCAGAAGATTTACTAAACTCCGCACACTGCCACTGAAATGCTACTATGTCAGACTCAACCACGAGTATAAGCGGTTAAGTCGTCTCTGTTTTCAACGCTATCAAAGGAGGATTCAACGGCGGCTAAAATCACACCCGAAATCCTTCTGGAACTTCGTAAATGAGCAACGCAGGGAAGTCGGCTTACCCTCTTCCATGATTTTTAATGGTGAAACTGCTGGAAATCAACAAGACATTTGCAACCTGTTCTCAGCCAAATTTGCTAGTGTGTTTGTAGCCGAGCAACTCTCCGCTAATATCATTACTTCCGCGGCCAGTAATGTTCCTTTGATCAACCAAACGCTCAGCATGGTCGAAGCCACTACAGATACGATTTCTAGAGCAGCATCTAAACTTAAGACTTCAACTAAGGCTGGACCCGATGGTGTTCCGTCGATTATTCTTAAAAAGAACATCACTTGTCTTTTAGATCCACTGCGCCGCATATTCCAGCTCTCTCTTTCCAGCGGCATCTTTCCGTCTTGCTGGAAGACTGCGGATATGTTTCCTGTTCATAAAAAGGGAAGCAAACGCGACGTAAACAACTACCGGGGAATCACATCGCTGAGTGCTGTATCAAAACTTTTTGAATTGGTTGTCATAGAGTCCCTAAATGCGCATTGCAGGCAATATCTAAGTACAGATCAACACGGATTCATAACTGGGCGTTCCACAACTACGAACCTGCTGTGCCTAACGTCTTACATCACAGACAGTTTGATTGCTCGGACCCAAACGGACGTTATCTACACAGATCTTACGGCAGCCTTCGATAAGCTGAACCACGAAATTGCGATCGCTAAGCTTGATAGGCTAGGGATCGGTGGAAATCTTTTGAGATGGTTTCGTTCATACCTCACGGAGCGCCAATTGACAGTAACTTTGGGTACTTGTCGCTCAGCAAGCTTCTGCGCAAAGTCCGGTATACCTCAGGGCAGCCATGTGGGACCATTGGTATTTCTCCTCTACTTCGACGACGTTCACCATGTTATCACAGAGCCACGATTATCGTTTGCAGACGATCTGAAAGTTTTTCTGCGCATCCGCTCACTCGCCGACTGCCGTTCTCTCCAAAATCAGATTGACATCTTTGCTGACTGGTGTAGTCTAAACCGACTGGTGGTCAACCCAGCTAAGTGTACAGTTATTACTTTCTCACGCAAAAAACAACCGATTATTTTCAACTACAAACTACTAGGCACGACTATCGAACGGGTGCACTGCGTGAAAGACTTAGGCGTTTTTCTAGACTCAAAGCTGACATACTCACACCATATATCGTATGTCGTCGACAAAGCGTCCAGAACGATTGGCTTTGTCTTCAAGATTACTAAGAACTTCACGGACATTTACTCCTTGATATCGCTCTATTGCTCTCTCGTACGATCTACGTTGGAATACTGCTCTGCTGTCTGGAGCCCGAACTACAATAATGGGGCCGAGCGAATTGAATCTGTTCAACGACGTTTTCTTCGCTTCGCGCTCCGTAAGCTGCCTTGGAGATACCCACTTCGTCTTCCAAGCTACGAGAATCGCTGCCAATTGATCAATATCGAGCCCTTACGTATCCGAAGAGATGTTCTCAGAGCCTTAACCGTCGCCGATACTCTGCAAGGAAGAATTGACTGCGAAGCAATTCTGCAACAAGTGAACATTAATGTTCAACCTCGATCACTACGCAACAGTCTTATGCTGAGACTTCCACTTCTTCGAACTAATTATAGCATAGGGAGCGCTATTTACGGCTTGCAGCTAGTGTTCAACCGAGTAGCGTCGATGTTCGATTTCCACTTGACACGGAATATGCTTCGCCGAAGATTCTCTGCCTTTTTAGCTGACCGAAGGCGCTTGATACCCAACAGCTAAGTGTAAAATTTAAGACTTATAAATTTTTAGTAACTTGACAATGCTTTCCAAGTTATTTTCGTTTGTAACTGTAGTAACTGTAGTATATGTATGTCGTCTGTATAATCTGTACTTTTTTACAACACATTATTGGGACTATTTCTAGTCTGTTGATGCAACCATAACAAATAAACAAATAAACAAACATTTTTTGCTAGGGTGAAAGGATAAAAAGCTTCTCACATGAAAATGGGATTACGGAAGTGTGCGTGTTATTACGTCAGAAAGGTTAATTTGTCCTGGGACGGGACTTGACAATCGGGTAGCGATTTCGAGCCAATTTACTTTCAAATCCGAGCCAGTTTCTGATTGGTCGATTTGACAGTAGCAATCGTGGAATAAAAATAACAGAGGGATCGCATCAATTTGACTGGCAGTGATGCCGGAATCAATGTTGACGTCAATGGCGTTGTTAATTGTTTATATTTGCGAAAGGAAAGTTGTAAAGTTGAGTGCACTGCGTGTTTTAAGCGATGGATATTGTTGTTTGTGTCGAGGTTTGTGTATCGTTGTTTTTATTGTGTTGAGCAAACATTATGTACAAGCTGCTAAACTGCGGTAGTAACTCTAAATGAAATCCAAATTAAAATAGAAAAAAATTACATTCCTGGCATCATTGGTCAACTCCGTCAAACACCACGCGCAACTATCCGAAGGGCATTCTTCAAAAACACTAAGAATAGGGAGAAGCTCGATTGTCAAGTCCCGTCCCAGAATTTGTCCAGTTTGGTAAGAAATGCGCAATAATTTCATGGTTTTTTTCTTCCACGTTTAATCGGTAAAATAGCCGAACCCTCTAACGAACCTCCATTCGTCTCATTGCGTCTGAAGGCCAAACGATGCACTTTGCTATAAAAAAAAACACGAAACGTCAATCTGGTGCAGTGCGAAGAAAGTGTTTGCAGGATTTTCACTTCGTCATCAGCGAAATTTTACTTTTTCTGTGATTTCCTGCGCAAATTTCCTTTCGAAACTTTCGTAAAATCATGCTTTGATTCCTGTAGTTTTCGTTTCAAGTGTTGGTTCCTAGTTCTATCTTGATTTCGTGGACTGAAAATGGAAGGAAACGTATCATCCGACCAGGTGAGAACTTTTTCCCCCAATGACCTTAATGACGATACTGACGACGAGCCAGAAAGATGATGATGATGTCAACTTTAATTTACTTTTTTGTTGTGATTTGTTTGCTTTTATTGTGAAACTGGAAGGATTCCGTCGGCGGAGCGAAAAAGGCCAGCCCATTCGACAACCTCACCCGGGAGGATCTGATCAAGAAGTGTCGCGGTCTGCTGGGAATCGCTCAGAAGGCAAAGCAAGCAAAGGATGGTTTGTTTGAAAATGGGTAAGCGTAAATTTGAATTTTAATAACATTAGATTTATATTTTAGAATGCCAGGAAGAGAACAGGAAGCTCAAGGAGCAGCTTTCCCAGGCGGAGACGCAAAAAACTGCCGACAAGGACTGCTTGAAAGCTATGCAGGAAATGGTGAGCTCTTTGACGGAACAGAAGCTGCAAGCTGCTATGAAGGCGGATGAGTTGCAAAAAATGGTAGCGGGTTTGAGGCGGGAACTGGATGGAGCTGCATTGCTGAGGGAGCAGTTGGAAAAGTTTTCGGTGGAAAATGAAGCCTTTCAAAGGCAGATCAAGCGGTTGACAGACGAGAACGAGGAGCTGCTGGGGGATTTGTCCGGGATGGAAGCAAAGATGCAGAAGTTGGAGGGAGAGAAGGAGAAACTGAAGGAGAGTAAGGTTGTCGTGGAGCAGGAATTACTGAAAGCTAAAGGCGAGGGTGTGCTAACTGGGAAGGAAGAGAAGCTGATAAGGAAGCTGAAGCTGTACAAAAACAAGGTGCAGGATATATCGGCGAAAGTGCTTCTGCTGAAGTCTGATAGAAAAATATTATTGAAGACGGTTAAGGAGTATTCCGAGCAGGTGCCAAAGTGGCAGAAGGAACTGCTGAATGCTTCAAACGTCTTGTTCACTAGGATGCAGGCATTGGAGAGGGAGAATACGGCGTTAAAGAACGCTTACAAGTCGAAAGAACAGAAAACTGCTGAAATGGAAGATAGCACTGCCTTGGCTGATATTCAAAAACTATTTGAAGAGCTTCAGCAGACTTATCAGAGCCTGGAGGCAGAAAAAGGGGATTTTGAGCTAACGTTAAAACAGCAGTCGCAAGAAAAAGAAGTCTTGGAACGAAAAATAGCTGAGATGGAGAGTATTATCGCCGAGAGGCAATCCGTTATTGACGAACTGAAGTCTGGAAATGAAGACCTTAACGTAAAAAAATCGGAAATTGAAGAAAAGTTGCAATTGGAGCTGGCCGATAAAAGAGCTCTTGTTGAGAAAATCGAAGCGCTCCAAGCTGACTCCGTTCTCGGTCAGTCAGAGCTTCGTAAACAACTGAAGATGATTCAGGAACAGTTTTCGAATCAAGCGGAAGAGCTGAAAGCCAAAAACGTTCTACTATCAGAATTTGAGCAGAAACTACAACGAGAAAGTGATGAGAATGAAAAGTGCGAGAATCTGCAGAAGTCACTTGCGGAGGTTCAGGATATTCTTTCAAACAAGGAGGCCCAACTTCAGCAACTGCAGAAGAAGCTTCAAGATTCTATGTCCATTCTGGAGAGCCTACAAGGGCAGTACGAAGTATCAGCTGCCCAAAACCAACAGCTACAAGCGGTGAATGATGCCCTTATCAGTGAAAGTTCCGCTTTTAAGTCAGAACTTCAAACAGTAACCGAAAATCTGAAGACCGAAAATGAACATTTACAGAAGCGGCTTCAGCAATCTGAGATGACGAGCAAACAGCTGGCAGAGAAAATCGAAGAGCTCAAATCTACCACCGTTCAAGGTGAGACTGAGCTTAATAAGAGACTGAACGAACTTCAAGAGCAGACAGCGAAGCAAATGGAAGAACTGGAAACCAAACACGTCCAATTGACTGAGTTAGAGGAGAAACAAAAGTTCTTTGCAGAGGCTCAGGACGCTCTCTCCGAAAAGGAAGATCAACTTCAAGAACTTCAGAAGAAGCAACAAGAATCTACCTTCATCCTGGAAGACCTTCAAGGAAGGTACGACGCTCTCGAAGCCCAGAACCATCAGCTGCAAGCTACCAACGACGCCCTTTCCAGTGAGAACTCCACCGGCAAATCAGAACTTCAAACAGTCAACGAAAATATGAAGACTGAAAATGGTGAACTACTGAAACGTCTTCAGGAAACTGAGATGACCAGCAAACAACTTGCAGAGAAAATAGAAACTCTTATAGCTGCAACCGTTCAAGACGAGTCTGAGCTCCAAAAGCGATTGGAGCAACTGCAAGAACTATCTGTGAAGCAAGCGGAAGAGTTGGATGCTAGAAACGTTCAACTGTCGCAGTTTGAGCAGAAGCTAAAGAAGGAAGATGAGCAGAACGAGAAATGTGTAAGTCTGCAAAAGTCAATTGCAGAACTTCAAGTATCGCTCTCGGATAAAGAAGGCCAACTTCAACAACTGCAGAAGGAGCTCCAGGAAACTACTTCCACTCTGGAAGGTCTCCAAGGACGACACAACGTATTGGCTGCCCAAAACCAACAACTGCAAGCAACGAATGACGCCCTCTCCAACGACAATTCCACCTACAGTTCCGAACTACAGTCCGTCCAGTCAAAGTTTGAACTGATCAAGTTGGAAAATAGTGAGCTGCTCTCAGAGCTTAAAGAAATCAACGAAATCTTGAAGGAACGTGGCGGAGTAATTTCCCTTCAACTGTCCAAAATTTCCGAACTGGAAGCCCAGAAACTTGCCTTGCAGCAGAAGCTTAACGAACTGGATTCGCCGGACGTCGGACAACTGCGACAGCGAGCCCAGGACCTAGAGCGCCAACTCAACGAAAGGGAATCGGAACTGGCCGCCTTGCGGGATCGAGATCGTAACTTTGATGCCCAGAGCGATGTCATGTCCACTTCGACGATATCCCGAGCGGAGGAGTCGGCTCGCATGCGGGAAATAGACGACAGCTTCGAGGAGAAGTACAACAAGCTACGATCATTGGCTGTGAAACTGAAGAAGAAGGTCGCTGAGCAGACGATTCAGTTGCAAAAGTTCGAGAAGGAGCGTGAAACCCAAGCCGTCGGGAAGAATTTCCAATCACTGCAGGCGGAGTACGATCGAGTTTTGGATCAAATGGAAGCAGAGCGAAAAATAACCGAGCACTTGGAGGCGGAAATGAAGGAGTTGAAAGAGCACGTTGAGAAACAGCAGCAGGAAATCGAAACCATGAACCAGGTGCGGTCGGAGATGGATAACAGCAGCAAGAAGGACAAATCATCGCTGGAGTCGACAATTCGAGAGTACCGAGAGCAGTTGCAGAGCTTGAAACGCGAAAAGGAAGCTTTCAACCTGGCGAAGAAGGAGATTGATACGGAAAATCAGAAGCTGAAAGCGACGTTGAAAGCCACTGAGAAGCAGTTGAGCGAAGAGTTGGAGGCGCAAAAGGAACTGAAGGCAGAGGTGGAGAAGTGTCGACTGGCTGCTAAGAAAGCGAAGGTGCTAAATTTGGAGATGGAGGCCTACGAGAAGTCGCTAGATGAACTGAACAAAAAGCTTGAAGCGAAGAAGGTACACGCGAAAGATCTTGAAGGAACTATCGAGGTTCAGGAAGGAACGATCAAAAGCTTGAAGAGCCAACTGACGTTGCTAGAACAGAGTTTGAACGGAGAGAGAAGCCACTCACAAGAACTGAAGAAAAACGTGGATGTTCAACAGGAGAAGCTGAGGATTAGCGAGCATCAACGCGGCGAGATGAATGTAGAACTGGCACAACTGAAGGTTGAATACGAGCGAATCAAGCTTGAGATTGAATCCAATCGAATAGAATTGAGCGATGCAGTAACGGAGAAGGAGAAAGCTTGCAACATAATGGAATCCGAGAAGAGCAAATTGATGAAGCAAGTTTACGGGCTTGAAAGCGCCATCGAAGACCTTAAATCAAAAATGAAGGACAAGGAGCAGGAAGTAGAGGACGTTCGAACGGAGTTCGCCAGCTATAAGATCCGAGCTCAGTCTGTTCTGAGGCAAAATCAGAACAAGGATGGCGGAAAAGAACGACAACTTCAGGAAGAAGTTCAAAATGTGCAAAAGACGTTGGAACTGTCTCAATCAAAACTTCAAACATTCACGCACCAAACCGCTGAACTTGGCAAGACTTGTGACGAACTCAGAGAAGACAAGACGAGACTTCAGACCCGCTGCAAAGAGCTTCATGATCTGCTGGAGGAATCCCGCGTGCAAAATGAATCCCTTATGGAGGAAAACCGTCGCTCTAATCTTAACCACCAGGAAGCATTGAAAACGCAGCGCCTCCAGAACGAAACCCTCGTCAACTGTTACAAAAAGCAGATCGAAGAACTTCAGGAGAAACATTCCAAGGAGGTCGAAAGCCTCCAATCCCACATCATCCAAGCCAACCTGCATCACACCCAGGAAGCATCGAATGACTTCCGCAACAACAACAACAACACCGCCATTCCATCGAGCAGTGGTATGGCTTTCTTCCGTGGTCAGCATATTTCCGACGAGCAGAAAATCAACCTACTCCTCATGGAGCGCGAAGAGGGTGAAGGTTCGGAAAGTATCACTTCCCACCACCAGAACCCGTCCGTCCTGCGGCGGAAATCTTCCAACTCTAGTCAACCGAACCAACGGACTCGGTCTAATCGGGAACTGATTCCACTGGACGAACTCTTAAATTCCTCCTTTGACGATGCGTCCGTCTTTGAGGCGGATTCGATGGATTTGTCCGGGCGGCCATCGGTTTCGCCAACAGTTGAACTACAGCAAACCAAAGAGAAGCTATCGAAGCAGGAAAGCCGAGTGCGGCATCTGGCGGCACTATTGGCCGAAGCGGAACAGGACCTGGCCAAGCTGACGCAACTGAACGAGCTGCTCAAGGAGGAAGTTCGGCGCCACGAGAGAGCCATCGAGCGGGAGAAGCATGTACATAATTCCGAGTATCTGAAGAATGTGATATTTAAGGTAGGAGACGTACAAATTTGAGGCAAGGGAAAAATATTAATCCGACTGTCCATTTCAGTTCTTAACCCTCAACAGTGGCGACGAAAAGTCACACCTAGTTCCTGTGTTGAACACAATACTTAGGCTTAGTCCGGAGGAAACTCAAAAGCTGAACAGCGTTGCGCGAGGTAATTTTAGTTTAGCGTCACTTCTGTATGGGTCTTATTGATGCGATTAAATTCACAGGAACGGATGGTGGTGGACGCGGTTGGACCGGTATTCTGTGGAACTAGAATTTATTGGTAAGTCGATTTTACATTTTATTCGTACTGAGAAGTTGTCGTGGTTTTTGCGTTGAAGTTTCTGTAAGTATTGCGTTCTGTTCGGGTGTTGGCACCACGCTAGTTTGCTGTCGGTCCTATGCAATACATAACGTGGTCACGTAAAAAAAAACTTTCGATTTAGATAGAGGTTGTAGCGATGTAATTGCAGTGTGACTGAGGGGATATTTTAGTTCAAGTAGTACTATAAATAATTTAACGGAGACTTTTAGTATAGTGTATGAAGAATAATATATATAAAGTGATTTAAAGATTGTAATTGCTAATCGTAGTATTAACTTTGAAAGAAACATCCTTTGTTTGCCAATTGCAGGGCTGGTAGCGAGTCACTTTTTAGTGACTTGGTCACTTTTTTTTAAGCCAGTCACTAAAAAGTCTTTTTTTTTAAGGCCAAGTCACTAAAGTCACTTTTTCTTGTAATCAGTCACTATTTTCAACTATTGTATCGTGAATTTATTTCAAGATTGATCATTCTTTGCTTTGTGGCGTTTAATCGTCTTTCTCTATCTACAGAGTGTCTACTAGAGGGGGTCATCGTTATATGGAAAAACGCAAACTATACCTCATCAATCGAAAACAACCCTATTTTGGTTTCATTTGGAGTCCCAAACAACTGTGCAAAATTTGGGGACGATTGGTTGTAACTTGGCTTTCCTCATTGCGTTTGAAATTTGTATGGAAATTAGTATGGGAAAACCAACTTTTTGCATTTTTATCCCTAGAGACCACAATTTTGCATGAACCGTGCAACTAAGTATGTACAAATATAGTTCAGGAAGTGCATAATAACTTTGCCAAAGGAAGTATGGTGCTAGAATATATCTAAACAAAGTTATAGCTATTCAAATATTTATGGTTTGAATAAAACACCAAAAACACTTTTTCTGCCAACACTGCCGATGTACCAATGGAAGTCAGATTCCAAACTAAAATAATATCGGAGTTTCTTATCTTACCGATTTGGTATGTTCAGATGAATTATTCAAAACAATTGCTCTATCTCATATGTTTAGTTGGAGAGGGGGGGGGGGGGGGGGGTTCTGCAACCTTTGATTTGCAGAACCAAATCAAAGGTTGCAGAACACATCTTCACAGAGGACCACCAACTATCGACGGAGGACATCACGATTTTACGAACCGTATCTACACCATAGAATTGGATGTTGCAGAAAGCCTCGAGATCAACAAACAATGTAATTCAACTTTACTCAACAGGGATCAAGGAAACGGACACACATGGCTTTTCAAGTTACTACCTAGGACACATCAACGAGTAAGCAGCGGAGTACCTGTTCCTACAGGAAATTAAATTTAAGTTCACCTAGTTTCTAAGTGAAAATGTACCTGTGTTAATATATATTCAGTAAATACGATGTTTTTCTTCAGTCGAGTATTAGTACAAGACACTGAAGAAGTCTGCACATTGTAGACGAAATACGCGTATCTGTCAAGGATAAGCAAATAAGGTAGTGGAATTAAATGGAAATTACTAATCCTTCTCTCTCTCATTATACATTCATCAGAACTCCGAAGTTATTTTAGTCTTTATCTTAACTTTCATTGATCTAAGTGAGGGCCGGAAAGTATACAGTAAGCCCCCCCCCCCCCCCCTATATATAACTTCGCACATGGAGCACATGTTTTTGAATACATCTGAACATACCAACTTGACAAGATCAGGAACACCAAAGTTATTACACTTTGAAGCTTAACTTTCATTTATATGAGTGAGGGGTTCTGGTATAGTTAGCCCCCCCCCCATATGTTAATACGCCTATGAGATTTAAAAATTGTTTTCAATAATTCATCTGATCATACCAAATCGATTAAATAAGAAACTACGAAGTTATTTCAGTTTGAAACTTTACTTCTATTGATATGAGTGACCCCCCATCCCCCTTCGACTACGCATATGAGACAGATTTATTGTTTTTGAATATTTCATCTGAACATTCCAAACCGATAAAATAATCAACTTCGACATTATTTCAGTTTGGAGTTTGACTTTCATTGGTACACCGGCAGTGTTGGCAGAAAAAAGGATTTTTAGCATTTAATTCGAAACATTGATCTTTGAACAGCTATAACTTTTTTGAGGGGCATTCTAGCACAATACATTCTCGAGCATAATAACAAAAGACTACCAGCTGAAACATGGACACAGCTGGGTGGCGTAGCCTGGGCAATGTTGCCAGTCCGGCAATAGCAAAGTGAAGAGGTGCAACGCAAACCATATTACGGAGATAGAGGAAATGCTTCACCAAACCCGAGCGTCTGTTCACCATGGAGGTGCGGCTCAAAACGGCGTCTGTTCTCCATGGTTGGGGGTTGGGGCAGGCCCAACAAGCCGCCCTGGAAAAAAACATAGTTGCAAATATTGAAGAAAGAAATACGGATCGGAACAATCGGCACAGACCTACGAGACGAAATAAGGACTACGATTGGAAAATCGGAACATGGAACTGCAAATCGCTCGGCTTCCCGGGTTGCGATAGGTTAATCTATGACGAACTTCAACCACGCAACTTCGAAGTCGTAGCACTGCAGGAACTTTGCTGGACGGGACAAAAGGTATGGAAAAACCAGAGCTGTGGCACCACCAGCAAGCTGGGAACCGGCTTTGTAGTGCTGGGTAAGATGCGCCAACGCGTGATTGGTTGGCAGCCGATCAACGCGAGGATGTTCAAGTTGAGGATTAAGGGCCGTTTCTTCAACTACAGCATCATCAACGTGCACTGCCCACACGAAGGGAGACCCGACGACGAGAAAGAAGCGTTCTATGCGCAGCTGGAGCAGGTGTACGACGGCTGTTCGCAACGGGACGTCAAAATCGTCATCGGCGACATGAACGCTCAGGTAGGACGGGAGGCAATGTATAGACCGACAATCGGGCCAGACAGCCTACATGCCGTATCGAACGACAACGGCCAACGATGCGTGAACTTTGCAGCCTCTCGGGGTATGGTAGTTGGAAGTACCTTTTTCCCCCGCAAGGATATCCACAAAGCCACCTGGAGATCACCTGACCAACACACAGAAAACCAAATCGATCACGTTCTAATCGACGGGAAATTCTTCTCCGACATTATCAACGTCCGCACGTACCGCAGTGCGAACATAGATTCGGACCACTACCTAGTTGCAGTATGCATGCGCTCAAAACTGGAAATGACTGGTTTGACGGCGAATGCAAACTGTTAGTAGAGGAGAAGAATGCAGCACGGGCGAGAATGCTGCAACACCGCACGAGATTGAATGTGGAGCGATACAGACAAGCGTGGAACAGACAAAACTCGGTTTTCCGAAGGAAGAAGCATCAGCAGGAAGACCGAGATCGCGAGGCGATGGAAAATCTGTACCGCGTAAACGACACACGGAAGTTCTATGAGAAGCGTGCCGCAAGCCGATATGTGCAAGGACTTGGACGGTAACCTTCTCACAAACGAGTGTGAGGTGATTGAGAGGTGGAAGCAGTACTATGACGAGCACCTCAACGGTGATGCAGCAGAAAACGAAGGTGGCACTACAACAGACCTTGAAGCACGCGCAGAAGAAGACAGGCTACCAGCCCCTGATCTTCAAGAAGTTGAGGAGGAGATCGGTCGGCTGAAGAACAACAAAGCAACTGGTGTAGATCAACTACCAAGTGAGCTATTAAAATACGATGGTGAAGCACTGGCTAGAGCGCTGCACTGGGTAATTGCCAAGATTTGGGAGGAGGAGATATTACCGGAGGAGTGGATGGAAGGTGTCGTATGCCCAATCTACAAAAAGGGCGACAAGTTGGATTGCTGCAACTACCGCGCGATCACACTGCTGAGCGCCGCCTACAAGGTACTCTCCCAAATTCTATGCCGCCGTCTGTCACCATTTGCAAGAGAGTTCGCGGGGCAATACCAGGTGGGATTCATGGGTGCCCGCGCTACCACGGATCAATTTTTTGCGATTCGGAAGGTTCTGCAGAATTCCTCAACATTTCAATAAAGCTATCCTCCTAATTTAATTTTCTTTTAGTTTTCCTCGAAAAGACCTTGAAATTCTCCACAATAAGAAACCCTTTGGAAAAAACTCTCCGAATATTCATTGAATTCATTTCAGATATCCTTCCCTTGGAATTCTACTCACATTGAAAGTCTCCTAAGAATTCAGTGGCATTTCTCCTCACAAATTCCTTCGAATTCTTCGCATAATTTGTTTGGCAAACCCTCCTGAATTTATTTTCCGAATTCCTTTGAAGATCTTCTGCAGTTATTCTCAGATTTAATTGTAATCCTCCCTTTAGTATTTTCAAAAAGATTCCAAGAACTTAGGCTCCGGATTCGTTTTCTTCCACAACTTTATAAAATAATCTTCAGAAGGCCCTTAGAATTTTTCTCTGAAGGAGTTGTGCTCCTAAGAAATTTTCAGAGTTATCATTAAAATTTGCTTTCAATTCAATTCAGGGTTTATTCAAATTTTTGTCAAAACTTTCAGGCTTCAAAAGAAATCTAAAATTCTTCAGAACTACCTTAAAAGCAGATTGCATTTGATGTTTTTTCTGAAAGATTCTTTTCCCAGAACTTCCTTAAAATAAAGTCCTTAGAAATTAAAGTAAAATTCCACGAGCTTTTAAAACTGTGCATGGATTTTTACTCCAGATTATTGAAAATTTCTTGAAGTATTATAGCTTTTAAGTCCAGAACTAGTTCAAATTTTAAAATTTCTAGGAAATATGCATGTTTCAAACCAAAAAAACAATACATTTCAAACCTCTGTTTTTTTAAATATATATGTTGCTGAATATTAGTCCAATGTGGATCTATAAAGTTAAAAGTGTGAATGTAAATAACGAGAAACATTTAATGCTTGTATTTTAAAATTCATTCTTTTCTTTAAATATCCTTAGTAAGAAATTTATTAATTTCCCTGAGCCTTCCAGGTATTTTAAGGATAAATAAAATGTCCTAAGGATTCCCGGTTTTCCAGGTTTTTGCAGTTAGTAGACACCCTGGCTAATACCGTGGGTTTGACCATACACTTTCTATTGAATCTATCATTTTAAAGGTTCATATCGTACATAAAGTGTTTATGAGATACTTGGTGAATAAGTCTAAAACATCAAACATTTATTTTCTCTTAGGTCACTTTTTAGTCACTATTTTTACAACTATAAGTCACTATTTGGTCACTTATTTCTTCAACATGGTCACTAAAATCACTATTTTTGACACCAGTGATCGCTACCAGCACTGCAATTACGAAGAGTAAACAAACATTACAATATTAGTCATCGCTACAGAGGCTGTGATACAACAAACATTTTGTCTTCTTTGACTGCTGTTGATGCGGGGCTTATTATGCCCGTATGTGTGTGAGAAGACTAAGATTTTTATCACGGATAAGGCAATATACCATCAGTTCTCACTATTATAAAACCAGAATTAATCCACCTAATCACCCTTCTTACTAATAGAAATTCCTACAAGGATGCTCATGTGATGAATGAACTATCATGTGACTTAATCAGAAACTGACCTTTTCCCCTGGGGCACCCGGAACATGTACGGATATGTCCAATGTAGTCCTGGGTACTGGATATGACTACGATTAAACATGTATTTGAATTCTCATGTGATTTAGGGTATCGCAATACAGCCTTTGAAACTAGTCAGAAACAGACCAATTTCTCTAGAGGACCTGGAACAATTTCGAATGTGCCAAATGTTGTCCAGGACAGTCAAAATGACTACCATTGAACATGTTTTCGAATGTTGGCAGGCTGTATTGTATACGAATTAGGAGGATCGTTTTGTACGATCCAGGTATAGTGTGGTTTCGAACAATTATTATTAAAGGTTATGACAGTTGGAGCTATCGTAAAGAGAAATACACGAACATTGGTTCACTTTCGTTCTGACGCTGAACTCAGTTAGGTACAAACCTTATTACTATTCACTACAACCAAAATTTACACTGTAGTTTCCCCTTTGAATAAGGAGCATGTATTCATGAACACAAAAGGCTGAAAAGCTAAACAAAACTAACAAACAAATTCTGATGTTATTTGATGTGCCTCTTCCTCTGAGGTATCCTAAGAGCTCTGTCTCAGGAGACAATGGTCGAATGCAGGGATCTGGACGAGATCTCAACAGTAGACAAGTTGACAAGTTGCGCTGAAGGTACATTGCGATCTGGGAGATGAGCCGATGACAATCCAGATGATGAAGGATACGACTTTTGACGGTTGCAGCTAACAAACTGTTGGAGACAAGTAAAGTAAAAATTGGGTGGTCAATATGCTCAGTATCCAAAAACCACAACCCTCCAAACAGCCAAGAACTCCGCCATATCGAGCGGTATTGGAGCTTGGTCAAACGGAATCTAAACAAAAACTAATAAATCCATGGAAAACGAGCAGCAGTTTAAATCTAACTGGGGATAAGTGGAAGGCACGGCAGTTCGGATTTGACAAACCAAGAGAATAAACGAACATTATTTCCTTTAAATATATGAATTGAACTACCAAAAGAAAAATGAGATTTTTGTGATATGAATTTTGAAAGAAATGATTTTTTTTTGTCGACCAATTTTTGCGCGTTCCAGTCTTTAATTTTGATACATAGCTCGTATTGCTGAAACATTCAGTAACTCACTAGGCTTCCGAAATGCGTTGCTATTTTTTCAGTAATAGCAATTTACTGGAACACGAAATTAACTTTTGGTGTGTGGCATCGCCAGCCTCGCAGTCTGCAAATGCTCCACAGGTCGCCTTCCACCAGGTCGATGCCGCTGCGTGCCTCTTCGTCTTTTTGCGGTGTGGACGATATAGCGCTTTCCCAGCAGCTAGTGCAATTCGCGGTTCATTTGATTCCTCCACGTTCCGTCTGCTCCGGAGCTTCTTCTCCATGTCTATTCTTATTGTTTCAACAGCGCAACTATTGAAAATCAATGAAAATAATACCTTCTAGGGCACAACATTAGGGGTGAATGCAGTCTTAGAGTGTTAATTTTTTGCAAAACGATGCCCTGGATTCCCTCTGGAGTCCGGAATATGATGCGCCTTGATGCAAAAAATCAGCGTTCAAGGACCCTGACGAAAATAGGAAAACAAGTGACGTAGTCGCCATTTCCCCAACAACCCAAGGTGCCGAATCAACTGTTTTCAATTCAAACGACTATTTCAAAAAAAGTCAATCCAACTTCGCAAATCGTCAGTGACTCAGCGAATGGCAGTGCAGCTTCGCGAAATATCGTTTTCTGCCATTCATTCATTTCCTTTATTCGCTTTCCAACGAACGAGAACGTCAGAGAAAATTCATCTGGCATTTTGGCAAACTTCCTTTTCGCCTCCCACCACCCCATCGCTAGCTGCTGCTGCTGATGCTTCGGCGATGCCAATGGGGATCTCTTGTCATCCACCCGGCCGGCGCAGACGAGGAAAAACATACACACGAGAAAGATGTGGTAGCCCAAATAATATCATCACGCTGTGACGATTGTTTCTTTTCCGTCGCTTTTCCTGTCGATCCTACACGCGTGGGATTTTCGCATGATTCCCAGATGTTATTCGTGCAGAATTTGTGCAAAAGCAGAATTCTGACATCGTAAGGCCGGTTTCCATATGTTACGTTTTTCTTTATTTTCATTCCAGCTACCGCCACCGGGCGACATGCACGGCCGAGATGAGCTGCTTCAATACAACAGCTCGGTGAACTTGCCAACAGTTGGTGGTGGTGGTAGGTATGTAGTCAATAGCTCGACGTGTATCCTGGAAGGAAAATCAATACTCTTGCCTGGGTGTGCCTGGTTGGTGGTACTGGATGGGGAGCGAATGCACTCTCTCCGACCGTCAGGCACATTTCCAGCCACGTGGAGTAGCGAGCAATCTGCAGACGGGACGATCGGAGGCAAGGACCCCCACCTCGTGGCAGGCAGACAGGCGGGTTCATCCGTTTGCTTTCTCTGTCTTCGAACTCGGGTTCACGAGTCACGACGACCGACGTCGACAGGGATCCGTCACGGCGCCGCCGTTGGTCGACGCGAAATAATCGTCGCGCATGTGCGAAATCACGCGAAATTCGGCCTTTCATTTCTTTGTGCTCGTGGTAAGTGGTACGTTTTTCGATGAGCTCCTGAAAATTTGTGAAAATTTCTGGAAAATCCCGACAGGAAAAACGTTTTGGATCAATTTGGGTTGCTTTGGAAAGTTCAGTGTATGTGATTGAGGCTTGAGAAAGCGGTCGGATGGTGGTGAATTTTCCAAAAATTTTCGCAAGCTAGCTAGCAGTAGATCCTTTACTAGAGGTATAGATTAGATTTTCCCTTCTTCACAATTTTGTGGTGGTTCATGTGAACGAGTGTTGGGTCCACCCGGTATAGTGAGGCACACGAACAGGGCGTTCCATTCGTGTGGGCGATCGGGTAAGGGTTTTCCACACCGGAGGAGCCCAACGCACTATCATTCCAAGGTTCGACTCGGCTCGTGCAGACGTGCAGAGCGATTTTTCCAGAGTGCGGTGCTGAACATTGCAGGCTTTGGTGGAGTGAAGTGTGAAAAACGGCAGCCATTTGTTGGTCGGAATCGTACAAATTTGCGAGAGTGTAATTGTTAACCGGCTAGTGCAGGAACGCTAGCAGGAAAAACGGGCATCCGTAAGTGTTAACCACACTTTTCCTTTCCTTTGAGTTCGAAACCGATAAGCCATGTGGTGGATCAGGAGTGCAAAATGTGCTTATTCTAAATTTAAAATTCCCCTCATGCGGCGTGATTCAGCCGATCGACCGTCGTTTAGATGTTGCAAAATGTAATAATGGCGAGATGTCTGCCATGTGATGGACTGTTCCGTCTGGACCGGCAGCGGATGTCTGTGACCTAACTAAATTGTTGAAAAATGTGATTCATTTCGTAAGCCCCCTCCTGAAAGAGGGGGGTGTCTACCGATAGCCGTGTCACAAGATGGTGAAATAGTCTGGGCCTTGGAAGCCGGCCATCTTTATTGCATTTGCCGTTTCCGAAGCTCCGAAACTGTACAATCACCGGCATGCAGTGCGGTTGGTAAAGTTCCGATTTGAATTTATGTTGGGGAAAAATCGTCATGCAAATTTGCCGGAGTGCTGTGGTTCGTTGCTCAATAAGGCCACAGTCTAGCACATGTAGGTTCACAGCCAGAAGTCCTTGCAGGAGAAAAATCGATGAGAACAGTCTCGACGCAATTACTTTAGGAGGAAAGCCTATTGATCTTCAGCTCTTCACCTAAACTTGTCTATGTATTATATGACAAACCGAAACTCGCAAGTTAAGCAAATTTTTGGCTGGTAATTCTAAAATCTCCCTTCTACAGAAAAAGCTGTTGACATTTTGAGCAGTCAATTTTTAGAATCGTGCGGCGACGTCAGTTTTCGAGTTCTCAGTAATCGACAATGTAATCAATAAAAGTCACTGCAGGAATCAAAATGAAACAAAAAAAAATACTATTGATAGTAATTTGAAGACTTTGAATATGTTTTCTTCAGTGCTGGGTCAACGCATGCTCCCACCTAATGCTACAAATAAATTCAATAATATTTCCAGATCTCGCTGCATCAAAGTAATCTACTGTCGAAGGGAAAGCGTGTTGTGAAGGTATTCTAAGGCTGTGGTGATTTTTTACTTAAATTTGACAGATGGAAATTTTTCAAATAATATTGTACCAGACTTATTTCTGACAGACAAGGAATCAATTTTGTCGCACAAAACTCGAATCAGAGGGATTTTCGAACATCTTAATTTATTTTCGAAGTGTCAAATTTAAGTGAAAATTCACCTAATGGAACACAGTCTAAGGTTCTGAACCATTTGGTGGATTATTTTAACTCCTGGTTAAAATTTGATAGATGGAATGTTATCGATTAACCCTGCTATCCAAGCGTGGTTACTTCTGACAGACAAGAAGTTAAAATTTGACAACTGTGGTTGAATTGTTCTCGAAAACCGATCGATCGACAGCACAGGGATTCTCGAACATAGAAAATAACTTTCGAAATGTTTATGTTCGAAAATCCTTGTGCTGTCGATCGACCGGTTTTCGAGAAGAACTCAGCCATAGTTGTGAAAATTTTACTTCTTGTTCTTCAGAAGTAACCGCGCTCGGATAGCTGGGTTAATCGATAACTTTCCATCTGTCAAATTTTAACCAAAAGTTAAAATAATCCACCAAATGGTTCAGAGCCTAACCCTAATAAAATTGTTATGGTTATTTTGCTTAACGACGTGTTCGGGGTATCATTCAAACCATTTGTGGAATAGTTCTATCGTTCGGGTTATCGCTCGTATATGGTATTTTTTATTAGGGAACTTACTGTTTTTATTGTTATTGTTGTTGTTTTGTTTTCGATTATTTAGTAAGGGTCAACTGGCCTTATAAAAGTTGTTGTTGCTGAGCAGATAAACAAGACATTTTATCAAAATAAAAACTACTTAATTCTTAATTGGAGTCACTCATACCATCAAGTACTGTTGTTAGAGATAAACCAACTAAAGGCTGAATCATGGTGGGTATATAAATAATGATACAGCTTTTTCACTATATAGGCGAGGAGGTCGCGGGGGGGGGGGAAAGTGCGGTTTTAGAGCAAATTGTAAACAAACTCGGTCGCTGTCCCATACAAAAATTCAACATGGCTGAATCATGAATTTGACACATTAGAACACCTATTTGTAGTCACCTTGGGCTGAATATCTCTAAGGGAAAAAGCTTAAATGACGTAGCATTTTAGGGTGACCAACCTTGTAGAAAAATACGCTACAAGGGCGAAGGGGACCAAAGTTGGTGCTTTATGAAACGTAAACAAGCATTACACGTTTGTTTACGTTTGATGAAGCGCCAACGATGGTGCTCCTTCCTCTTTTAGCGTATTTTTCTACATGACTGGTCACCCTAAAATGTTATGTCATTTGTGCATCTTCCTTAATAAAACAAAAAAAAAATCAAGTGCAAGTTGTGACACAGTTGGTTATTTATATTTACTAGAGTAAATGTGCCAGTTACGGCACTAGTGCTTCAGTTTTTGGCCCTAGTGACTAGCTCAAATTTGAAATAATGTTTAGGTTCTATTTGCGTAGCTATATGATATATTGTAAAATCTATGTTCTTGCCTGGCATTGAATTAAAGTTGGTGAAGAATGATTAGCATTGAAATTTAAGATAGGGCCAATTAGGGAACCAATAGGATAAAAACTGGCACACTTATCCTACGTCTGTGATTTCTATATGGGAGTACACTTTGTGAAAACCGAAAATGGAACATATAACAAAATTATGAAAGATTTTGAACGTTAATAACTCAGCTGCCCCTGGACCAATTTTAATAATTTTATCACCACTCGATCAGAAATATTCCTACGCAGTTATCATTTTTCAAAATGTTAATATTGAAAATTGCACGAATGTGCAACTGTTACTATAATAATTAAAATTATCCTGCGGAAATCAATTTCCCTAGCACAGATTTCAAAGTTGAATTCCATTCGGTCTCATCGAACGGTGTTTATTCAATCACCACGCGGTGAGTGGTGGTGTTCTTCAGCACACAACCAATAGCTCCCCACAAGCAGCTAGCTATAAAGGCTGCCCGCAACCGCTGATCGCATTCAGTTCCAATCACCGTGTGTGGTGGTGTCCGGTCGTCGGCATCAGCAGCAGCAGCAGTACTTTCGGCGCGTAGCGTTGAGCATTGTTCTCCAGTACACAACGAAAGGCTGCCTGCAAGCAGCGAGCTGCAGCCCACATGAGCATCCATATAAGAAGGAAGAAGCCGCACCGTTATTGGTCAGAATCAGTAGCTCTTCGTGAGTCGCTGTGGGCCATCTATGTCAAGCGCGTCATACTAAAGAGTATAAACAGGGAGAACCCCGCTCAAATTCCAATTCTTACACATAACACAAACTCATGCTGCAGCTAACAAATAAGATTTATTATATAAGACCACGTAGTCCTACGTCACCATTGCGTACAACCTCATAGGGCTGTCCCTTGTGGTTTGTTTTTAAATGCTACCTCACCAGGAATCATAGCACATGGCATTTCTATGAAGCATTTTAGCAAGTTCTGTCCGAAACGAAGTTTTTTGTATTGATGCATTGAAACGCGTTCATCATAAACATTTGTTGGTAGGGTTTCTATTTAGAAACCTGGCACTTTTTACCTTTGTTGTTTATTTCGGTCTCCGCATGTAAATGCCAATAAGGTGATCCAAGAGACGTTTCTCAGTGGAACTGACAGCTAGAAATATAGAGTGTGTGTGAATGATCTGGTGTTAATGGTGCTGAATGTAAACATAAACAAAGCAGAAATTCATATGAGAATAAACTGCCAGTTCTACTGTGATCTGTCAAAAGTTCTTGGTAAACAAAAAAGTCAGCTGATCGCAACTGTCTCATGGGCAGCCTTATACCAATCACCGATGCCAGGGAACCCATGTGTTGATGGACCGACGCCGTTTTTTTTTTTCAATATGGAAAGGGGCGTCATTTCAAAAGATTGCGAAGGGTGCAGTAACTCCTGACTACACTTCTGTGCACAGGATCACATGCTTACTTACCTCTGCTATCCGAAGAAGTCGTCTCCACTCTACTCGATCCATGGCCATACTTCGCCAGCCTCGCAGTCTGCGAAGGGTCCGCAGGTCGCCTTCTACTTGCTCGATCCACCTTGCTCGCTGCGCACCACTTCTTCTTGTTCCTGTGGGGTGGCTTTCGAGAACCATTTTCACTGTGTCATCGTGCGGCATTGTTACGACGTGCTCAGCCCACCTCCTCAACGTTCCGTCATCCATCTGCACTCCACCGTAGATGGTACGGAACACCTTCCGATCACATGCCCCGACGTTAATCATACGTAATTTAGAATGAGATCTGTGGCTGTTATATGAAGTGTCTTGGAAACCATTGCACAGTGAAATGAAATCTAGCAGGAAAAAAATGGAATGGAACCGAAATCCAAAATTTCATCAATTTTGGAGCACTGGAACTATGTTAAATAAATATGATTACATTAGCAAAAATCACCATCTTAGCGCACCTCTGTGGTACTTTGTATAGGATCGAGTTGCCAATCTGTTAGTTTAGTGTCAAA